TAGTTTGACCATTAGAATGTCCATTAATTTGCATAGGCTGTTTAACTCTAGCCAATCTTTGCTGAGGGACATTTGAAATTTCCTCCACGTGTCTTATGTTTGTTGGTTGGTGGGTATTCATTCGATCCAAAAAGGATGTTGCCCACCTTTCCATTGTGTTCATTAACTACTGTCCCATGGCATCTACTAGGCCACCCCACGGATTCATAGGCTAAGTAGACGGAACAGTGGATGGTCCAATTCCTTGGTCTCGTCCAATATTATGAACATGTGGTACTTGTTCCGAAGTGCTGGTCTGTTCGACCATAGGTTCTGATAAAATGGGTGTTTCCACAGGATGTGTTATCATATTATTCTTTGGATTAGGCATTTCTATCTGTCCTTCTATGCTTTCTTCTAAGCGTTCATTTTCTCCTTGTCTCCTACGTCTAGCCGTTTCAATTAGTCCCACTGGGCAAGCCAAAAATATATGTTGACTTTTTTGGCTTTCGAAGGTTATTTTTGTAATTGTGAGTGTGCCAGCAAGGATCAATCAGTCCTTATAGAATATTAATTGCCAACCAATTATCAGACGATTGTGTTTTAGTTCTTTTAGCCTCAATAAAGAGGAATTTTACTGGTGGCTTTGCTTAGGAGAATTAACTGACAATGATTAAATGAAGAACAATTACAACATTTCATTAAGTAAAAATGAAAGACTTACAATGATCCAATTCAGCCTCGTAGAGGTTTACAGCAACAATCTACTTGAAACTACTCCTATGAACAATGAGACCAACAATGTAAAGAACAGGAAATGTAAAAATTGGAAAAGAAATAAAGTTGATAAAACTGGTTTTCCGGATCTGAGTCTGGGGGTTTTTCTGGGGCCTTCTCTGCTATTTATACTTCTCAAGGATAACCATCGAACTACACTTCTAACCGTCGAACCGCTCGTCCATGATCAGTGATCATGTTGCCTTATAGTTAGCTCCACTATGCCAATACCTGCAGTTAGGCTTCCCTCCTGATTTTGAATTTAAATGTGAGTAACTGTTGAAGCCACATCACTTTGCATCTCTTTGCTAATCCAGTACTATGCAGATCTTGTGAAAACCAATACTAACTACCACGTGTACGATCACGATCAAAGGTTTGAATTGTCTTCCCCTATTATCCTCAACCTGCCACGTGCTCTATGATTAGCTTTATACAAAATATGTAGCCGACAACAAGGCTCAACTATTTATTTGTTTTGTTTTGTTTTGTAATTCAAGGGCTATCTATGTATGGGTTTGAAAACCACTTTGTTGTAACCGAGCAAAGCCTTGAAACTTGTAGCCATTAAGGCATAAATTTGTATTTAGATTGTTTTAACTTGTTATCATCGCATGCAATAGATTCATATCGTAGGGATGATGAAAATATTAACGTATGTGGTCACTCTTTTGTTAAATCTCACGTTGAATATTATTAAGGGAATGATGGGGATTTAGTATGAATATTGGTTATTGAAATACCTAAAATACTCAATGATTATGTATGTAAATAATTGAAAGTAATGGGGTTTAGACTACGTATATGAGTTAATCTGGATATATCCTATGCCAATAGTTTGGGGGCTTTACAATCACACATAGTGACAATAATTTTCATCAGCCATTAGTAAATCTGTTTATATTTGGCTTTCAGTTGTTAAAATTTTCTACACATAAAATATTAAGACTCAAGATTAATTTTTTATTTTAAAAATAAATTTATGTGCATCGCACAGGTTACCTACTAATTTATATAATTATTTTGTAAAAAATATCAACTAGATTATAATTTTTCTTATATTTTTCAGTAAAAGTTTTTTTAAAAACTTTCTTTTTAAAGATAAAAAATAGGGGAATTACTACCCAATGAGGGCTACAAAACAATCTTACAAATTAATGGGGAAATTCTGCAAATTACAATAGCAATGTTGTGTGAGATTTATATTTGAGTGCTGCTATTAGCACCTATCTTTCTTTTTTGGACCCCTTCTTTTTTTTCTTTTTCTTTTTTTTTAATTCCAATTTTGTCCAAACATAAAGTTACAATTTTACCCTCATCCCTAACATTCTAACCCTAATTTCTCAAACCCTAACCCCAATTTTCCAAACCCTACCCCCACCGAACTTTCACCGCCATCTCCACCGGTGACCACCGTTGCCATTGCCATCGGCGACCTCTCTTTCCATCTCCGACGATTTTGCTACCATTGCGTGTCTCTCATCTTCCTTATTCTCTCCTATTCATCAAATCCAATCCGAATCTTCATCAAACCCAGTTCGATTTAGATCTCCCATTATCATCATCTCCCCGTTATCATCATCTCCATTTATTAAACAAACCCAATCAACTGATGTTATGGCCTATATCTCATATAAAAATCCAATTCTTGATACACATATATGTATATATATGTTTGTGTGTGTTGTAATTCCTAATTTGTTACATAATTGATGGTTGTGCTGCTTATGTCTGTGTGGACTGTGTTTTTAATTGGGTTTGTTGTCTTCAATTGATGTACTCCTCTTGTTCTTCTTTTGTAGATTGAAATGTTTGATGTTCTTGTTACTTGGGTCTGTTTGGACTGTTTTTTGGACTGTGAGAGAGAGAGAGAGAAGATGAGGAGGAGGATGTAGACACCCTAATTTTTTGTAATTACACATGAAACCCTGAGCCTTAGTTTAATAGCATTTTAGCACCTAGTTTCGTAAAAGTCTGCAAAATGGCCTAATAAAGAATAATTTTCCTGTATATTATCAAAGTTAAACCGAGAACACCACTTTATAATTGGAAATACCCTAAAACTTGGTTTTTATTTATTTACCTCTTAGTTTATAAATTAATTCATACATTTTACTTTTATTTTTATTTTTGTTTTTGTTGTTCTTTTATTTATTATTTATTTGAATATGTACATAGGTGTCACAAACAATATTTTGGTGGAAAATTGATTGAAAAAAGAAATAAAAAAATATCTAGATATTTATGCTTCCTTAGTCATTAAGCTAAGACCAAGCTTATTTCCTATAAATTGAGAGCCTTGTCTCAATTCCACACACACACACACACACATACTAGCAGCCAAGGAGAGGGTGAGAGAAGGAGAGTGTGATTAAAGGAAAGTAGAGAAGAAGAAGAAAAGGAAGAAAATGGTACCTTCTTGAGTCAAGGTAAGAACACTTCTTCCCCTTGTCTTCTCCAATTCTTTCACCATCCCATCCTATTGTTAGATGCCCTCTTGTGTTGCAAGTTAATGGGAAATAGGGTTTTTGATGTATATAAGAGTGTGGGTTTGATTTAGTGACTTTGCCTTACAAATTTGTCAAATTAGGCACTGCTGCAATTTCTCTAATTTAAACGAAATATCAAATTTATTTATTTCTTAATTCTAAATTTATTGTGAGATATTTGGTGTGTTTAGAGCTTGTGGTAATTTTATTAGCCCCTAATTGTGTGTTTTTAGGGCTTGGATACCTTGTTTAAAAATCTGGTCCTGAGTCTTTGAAAAATAGTCCACTTCTTGCAATTTTATAAACTTCCAGAAACATCATCTCAGGTTGGTTCTTCTATACAAATTTAGGGTTTTGAGTCCTCTTTTCAATGGAATTTATTTGGGTGAAAATCATTGGGTAGATTGAGAGGAAAGCTAGTTTTCCCAACGGGTGACAAATCTGGACAGGTTTTCGAATATAGCCTGTAGATGAGTTTCTGGAGGTGCTATGCACATTTTGTGAATTGGAATTGAAACTAGACAGGTTAATTATTATTTCTGTGCAATTTCAGCCCCTAATTTGACCTAGAAGTATTTTTTCCAAAGCACTCTTGTTAGACCTGCAGAACCGAACAGTGCTGGAAATGGTGGTTTGTTGTGTTGTTTGTCTCTAAGTGTTTTAAAGCATTCCTAATGTTATTTGCTTTCCTTACCATACCTATGTATGATTATCATGGGATATATTTCATTTCTTATGTTTGTCTCATGCTCTTTTATATTACCGAATTACCGAATGTGACTAGCTTGCTTGGAAAAAGATCTAATAAATGGGAAATGGGAAATGAAAAGGGGTTGGTAATCAGTGACGTTCACCCTTGTGCTTTAGAATGATTTATGTAATAAACATGTGAATGGAATTAAAACCAAATGAGTTAAGTCATGCGCAAGCGGTCTAAGCGAGCCCCTAGGTTGACACGGAGGTATTCAGACTCTATGCGGTGGTTTCAGGGTGTAAGCGAGCCCTTTGGTATGGTATGTGCAGGGTGTAAGCGAGCCCTAGGCACGATTTGGGTGTAAGCGAGCCCACTTGTTTGGCTGTCCCTTTTGAGGTCCATCAATGTCATTGACCGGTAAATAACCGGGAGGTGGGCATAAATAGTAAGGTCTGCAAAGCAGCAAAAGGGGGAGTTCTGAATAGTCTGTTGTTCAATCCTTGTGGTTGGGTAGAAGGATCTCTTTGGGGGATTCTAGTCGTCTAGTCTAACTACTAATTCATAGAACCTTGTTGTAATATTGTAAGTTATGTTACCCAATTTGTTCTGTGTATGGTTGATTGGTTGATAGAAGATATGGGGGCTGTGTGTGTTTTTACTGGGCATTCCAAGCTCATGGCGTGTCATGCCAGGTGATGAAGTAGTTTACAATGGTGAAGGTTATTTTGAAGGCAAATAAGATGAAGTGTTGGAGCTGTGGTTCATTTGAAGACTTAGACTAGTTGTTTTTTTTTTTTCCTTTTGACTTTTGGTTTGGCAATGTTTTGGTAATCCTGTAATGGAACATAAACGAATTACCTGTGATATTTACTCTGGTTATATATGTATATTAAGATGTTTTGGTTATCTATCCTACTTGCGTTGTATTATTGTACGTATTTAACGGCCCAGAAGTTGGGGCGTTACAGAGGAGACTGATCTAATCAGTGATTCAAATTGTCTGATTTGCAGAGAAGGGTTTGAGCTTGAGGTTGCTTTGAAGATGATGATAATGGGGAGTCAAAAAGATGAAGGGTATAGTTGGTATTAAGGTGGGGGTTTAAAGAAAAAATGAGGGGATTCATTTTGTTGGGTGGGGGTTCAAAGAAATAGAGGGGCTAAAGTAAAGAGGTAGGTGCTAATATTAGCCCTCTTTATATTTACAAGTCCTAGGATTTTGAGTGGAAATGACCTATTTACCCTTCCAGAAAAAACAACACCGTTCTCCCCATTTCTACTCATTTCACGATTGTCAGGCTCTCTCTCTCTCTCTCTCTCTCTCTCTCTCTCTCTTTCTGCGTTAGACCCACCACCCTCTATTCAGTCTTTCCCTTGCACTTTGGCGCAGTCCTTTTTCCCTTACTCTCATCTCACTTCCTAAAGGCAGAGATACAAAGGTATCTCTCATCACAAACCCTAATCTCTTATTTTTTCTTCTCTATGTATGTATACATTTTTTTTCTAACAATGATGTTGTATAATTTTTTTTCCCTATGATGCTGTAAATGATTTCTGTAACAATTTTTAGGATGTACTTCTTGAAAAGTTTGATCTACAACAAATTTTGGGCTACTTCTTGAGTTTGTTTGATGGAACATTATGGGTCTATAATCCTTGCATGCTAAGTGTTTGTTAAAATGCATGCAAGAGAATTATTGTTTTTGTAGGATTCTTGTATATGAACTTATTAGTTAATTGTGTTGTGCCCTTTAAGTGTTTGATGAAATGCCTATGACAATGTACTTTGTTGGAATTGGGTCATGTAATCTATGTAAATTTATTATTCTGTTATGAATTTCATGGTGTATGCATACCAGGAAGTAGACATTGTCAAATTATTTGGTACTCTAACAATTGCACCTGATACAAACTGCACTTGTACCCCCCACACACTACACTTGCACTCTACACAGACTATACATGCACCCCATGAATTTTGTACCAGTCTCTATCCCATTGACTTTCATTCATATCATTTCATTCAAAACAACCTTGAGTTTGTTTGATTGAACATTTACATGTTTGTAGTTGGAAGAAATGACACAAATTGATTTAAGTCTAAATCCTTGCATGCTAAGTGTTTGTTAAAATGCATAGAAGAGAATTAATTGGTATTATGGAATACTTGTATATGAACATGTTAGGTAATTGTATTGTGCCCTTTAAGTGTTTGATGAAATGCATATGACAATATACTTTGCTGGAATTGGGTCATTATGTAATCTATGTAAATTTATTGTCATGGGTGTGTGCATACTTACGAAGTGGACAATACCAAATTATTGGTGTTCTAACACTTGCACCCCACACAGATTACACTTGCACCCCATGATTTTTTTACCAATTTCTATTCCATTGACTTCTCATCAACTAATTTTATTTAAAACATGTGCTTGACCATGTCTTTATTTTTTTCATGTCTTCTATTATCATGTCAACATGATGATGGATTTTATTTACAAAATTGTTACTGTCACAACATTCTTATGATATATATATATATATATATTTGTATGAATAGAGTTTTCGTTTAAGAAACATAATATTTTGAAAGAATTTGTTATTCATCAAAAAGTTTTAGATTATTAGTCACCAACCCAAAATCAATTGAAAATAGATGGAGGGTTTTCTAGATCATATGAATTGAACTTGGATGACTTAAAGAAATGATAAAAGGTAAGTCTCCAACACTTCTATACATGTGGCCCAATTGCATGTAGAAGTGAGAGAGAGGTAGAGAGAGGAGCAACATTGGTTTTGCATGGAATACCTCCAACAATTCTAACAAAAAGAATTCACTATGCATGCATGCCAAGTTAAAGGAAGGGGAAAAAAAAATATTTTAGAGTCCAATAATCACAGAAAAATAATTTTTTTTGAGGTTTTATTTGTTTGTCATGGTCTATGCATCACACCTTCATGCCAAAAGTTGATATGGCTTTTGATATCATCCCTTCATGCCAATTTCAACACGAAGACTAATGCTTTTTTTATTTATTTTTATTTTTTCGTTTCTTTTGCCTTTAATTAAAGCATCCAACGGCACGAGGTGGTCGTCCTGGGGGCATTCTTTTTTAAAAAGAAAAAAATAATAATAATATAATAATAGATTTGACATATCAGGAAGAGAGCTTTCATGTCAAATTAGCATATGTCAATTTGTCACCCAAGCCTTTAAAAAAAATTAACATACTAAATTTTGAAGGCTTGACTGGAGATGCTCTAAGAAAAGTTATTGTGTTTGGAAAAGAATTTTTCAATTATATGAGAAACGTGAAGAAAATTCATCATAAAAATTCTTGAGCTTGGCTAATACTATCAAGGTAACCTCACTCAATGGCTTAAATCAATTGTAATGCCCCCAAAATATTAACATTGAAATTAAATGAAATTAGACAACCCAACATGCAATTCTACGTTAATGTACCAACTCCTTCAATTAGTATTTCATTTTAGGGAAAGGGTTTACAAAAGAAGTGTCCACATGCAATACATATCACCCTCTTAAAAGATGAATCCATAGTGTACGGGAAGGAAATATTCGTCGCTCTCCATACTCCTTGGGTCCAAGCTCCACATTACTTCAAGTGACGTCGTCCCACCTGAGAACAAAACAACTGTGAGCTATCCGGCAGGTGTGTTGCTGAAAAACCCCTCCGACGGTCAAATTAGCTCACTTGGAGAAAAAGATAGAGCCAAAAGAGACAAAAAAGAGAGAGCTCTAATAGCAAGAATTCCAGACCCCCTGCATGGGGGCGCCGCGCAGTTTATATAGTTTCTGTGCGCACTACTATGCTCATCCTTTCTTGGACACGGGGATGTCACGACCCCATTCCACCCTTAATAGAATGATGTCGTGATGGCCAATAATCCGAGATTACTAAAGGCCAACTCACAATGATTCACACAATAGAGTATACATATGGGGCAAACATGTGCGGAAGCACTAAATTCAAATCTAATTAGTCCATAAGACCTGTGCATAGATTAAATGAAATGACATATGTATTAACATGGTTTCATAACTTGAATACTAAATAAAATAACTTAGCATTACGTCTTGATCAAAAGGCTTCTCAAGCCCAAAACATACAAAAGAAATGAACTACGAAACTAAGAAGCATAATCTTCAAGATGAATACAAAAGTATAAAGTAAAACACATCTTCCAACAAAGCTTAGGTGACACCACCTTCTTGCTCATCACCTACATATATATAAGGGAAAGGGGTGAGCTGAAAACTCAGAGAATGATATAAGTAATAAAGGTTTAAATGAATGATATCCGAGATTTTGCCAAAACATTACATATCATAACTTGTAACAAAACAAAAGATAAACCAAGTCCATCAAATCAAAGTCTTTCAAAGCTTCAAGGGATGTTTACTAACATCTACATAATACAAGGGATGACATTCATTGACAAAACAAGGGAATAACTGACCCGGAATCGGTTAGACAAGTCCACCCGTTGATGGCAAGAGAGATATCTCAAACAAGGGTACTAGTTGTATTTAAGTCCCCTAGCACACAAGGACCTTTCAAGAATGTCATCAAAACAAACATAATAATTGATACAAAAACTAAGGGATAATCATTCATGCTTGATCAAATACTTTTCCAAAACATCCGTCACGACCCCATTTCGCCCCTAATGGCATGATGCCGTGATGGCCAGTAATCTGATATTACCAAAGGCCAATTTACAAAGAGCTACACACAAACAGAGTATACATATGAGGCATACACGTGCGGAAGCATAAATTTAAAGCTAATTAGTCCATAAGAGCTGTGCATAGATTAAATAGAATGACATATATATTAACATGGTTTTACAACTTGGATACAAAATAAAATAAAATAAAACTTAAAATTTCATCTTGATCAAAAGGCTTCTCAAGCCCAAACATACAAGACAAGTGATCTACAAAGCTAAGAAGCATAATCTTCAAGATGCTACAAAATGTAAACCAAAATGGTCTTCCAAATAAAGCTTAGGTGACATCACCTTCTTGTTCATCACCTACATATATATAAGGGAGAGGGGTGAGCTGAAAACTTAGTGAATGATATACGTAATAAAGGTTTAAATGAATGATATCTGAGATTTTGCCAAAACATTACATATCATAACTTGTAACAAAACAAAAGATGAACCAAGTCCATCAATCAAAGTCTTTCAAATCTTCAAGGGATGTTTACTAACATCTACATAATACAAGGGATGACATTCATTGACAAAACGAGGGAATAACCGACCCGGAATCGGTTAGACAAGTCCACCCGTCAGTGGCAAGAGAGATATCTCAAACAAGGGTACTAGTTGTATTAGAGTCCCCTAGCACACAAGGACCTTTCAAGAATGTCATCAAAACAAACATAATACTTGATACAAAAGCTAAGGGATAATCATTAATGCTTGATCAAATACTTTTCCAAAACAAAGCAAATCTTTTATCGAAACATTATAACATAACTTTATTAAAAATATCACTCACAATAGCTCTTCGGATGTAGGGCTTAAGGCAAGGATCCGAGACCTACAAGTACATAGTAATTCCATTGAATGCACTTTAAAAAGACAAGAACGAATGCTCAAAGATGGTTATGCAATGCACTTTTAAAACAAGCTTCAAATGAGTAAAATATAGATCCCAACATTTCTTTCCAAAACCAAATCAAGACAAAGCAAAACATGTGTTGGGATTTAAATAATGTTTTTCTTCTTGGAAAAGCATGTTGGGTATAAACTAGGTCTCAGAAAAGATGCACAGAGATGAGCTAGGTCGAAATGGCCTAGGTAGGTGAACTCGAGAGGTCTTGGCCGAGGTTCCACACCTCTTGGCTGAGGTGTGTTTTCCTTGGCTAAGATGTTACAAGGTGTTAGCAAAGGTGTATAGTGGTGTGCATGCAAGGTAGACTAAGGTGCAAGTGATCTTGCAAGGTAGGCCAAGGTGAGATGCACTGCTTGGCCTAGGTGTAAGGTTTGGACAAGAATGGGTCTTAGTGACCACACTTAGGGAAATGGTGAAGTCTAAAAATCTAGGTTTCCTTTTGAAGAACATAAAGAACATGAACATGAAGAACATAAAGAATATGAATGCAAAAAATCATAATTTCTTATTCAAAATCTGAGATTTCATGATATGAGTTCAAAAACATGAACCTGGGTACCCATACTTAAAGATTTCATAAGAACAAATACAAAACATAGAACTGGATACAAACTTTTGGATTAGAACATGGTTTTCTTTCAAAAACACAAAAACATCACTTTTTCTCTCTAAAACAAAACTTTAAATCAATGCATGACTCATGAATCATAGTAGATCATGTAATGTGATCAGATTAACATAAAGAGCAATAAGAGTAGATCAAGAATCTAACCTCAAACCACAAATCAAATGGTTCAAGGTATGAAAATTAAGCTTGGAAATCTAGTTCTCACTCTAAGAACTCCTTCTTCCTAGAGCTTCTCTTTCTACAAGGCAAAGATATGGCAAATGATATGGGTTTCTCAACTGCTAATTGACTTGAGCCCACAACTGGGACACGTGGCATGATCTGGTCAATCTCCTCAAAAAGGTGCCAGAATGAAAAGACAAGAGTAGGTCAAAGTGTATACAACAAGTAAGATCGCATTGATGCTCAACGGTCTAGGTGTAAGAGGTTCAAAGGTGTGACCTACGTGTGGGGTAGCACAGATAAATGGCCTAGGTTCAACACAGGAAACAAGGAACAAAGCATGGATCTTACACTTAGACAAAACACAATAGCACAAAACAAGACAGGAACCTTTACTTAGTCCAAACAAACCAAAATCTACAGATGCAAGC